GACTGACTGACTGACTGACTGACTGACTGACTGACTGACTGACTGACTGACTGACTGACTGACTGACTGACTGACTGACTGACTGACTGACTGACTGACTGACTGACTATTTTCTCCGTGTTGGGTCTGAACATTTTTACGACAAAATAATTCACAGCTAGCCGGTATTGTCTAAACGTCACATTCCTCCACCAGGCTAAGTGGTTGCTATGGCGTCCACTTAATGAACGGAAAAAGCAGTAAAATTTTAACGGCAACCCCATTCTTATCCTCTGTCATTTACTTTCCCTCTTCTTCTCTCGCTCTCCCTTTCCAGTTCTGACCATCCAGGCCACTGCCATCCAGTTCACGAAGGAGCCCAAGTCCCAGGATGCCTTGCACGGTCGCAGCGCCATGCTGCGCTGCGAGGTCAGCGACCCGGCCGACATCAGTTACGTCTGGCGTCACAACGGCCAGCGTCTGCAAAACGGAGAGAGGCGCTTCCAGGAGGGCAGCAACCTCAAGTTCACCGCCGTGGATCGGCAGCTGGACGCAGGGAACTTCGTGTGCGTCGCAGAAAACGCGGCCACGGGAGAGTTTCTCGAGTCCACCAACGCCTCCTTCAATATCAAGTGTGAGTGTTTGATTTCAAGTCGTTCTCACCCTCATTCAAAAAAGTAAAAAAGAACCTCCTGAGTGAAAATTGCCAGCTGACAGGGTTTCATAATGGCAACAAGGGCGCGCATCAAGTTTCTGGATCAAAAAAGCCAAACAAAAGTCACAGTATAAGATGACAGGTAGTATGAGCTGGAGGAATGTTTCCACCTTGTTGCCTTGTTCTTTGTGGCTTCCTCTCCCTCTCTCCAAAGGAAACTGGAAACGTATGCCACCAAGCATGTGTTTCTTGTTGCTTGTTTCTTCTTCTTCTTTTTCTCCGTTAGGCAACGCTCTCTTTTCCCGTATACTGTCAAAAGGCTTTTGTCTGGAAATTACTGAGCAATGTAATTTGCAACTTTCTAGCTGTATAATTATTTCGGTTTACATTAACACTGCCCTCCTCGCTCCAGCTTTTTTTTATTCGTGTCAGGCTTTTTTGCTCCTCAGTTACTTTCCAAGTGGTTTGTCCCATTAAGGGGAGGCACACTAGTATATTAATTTTGTTGTTCAGCCCCTTAACCGAGCCTCAACGAACCTCTTAAGTTTCAGAAGAAGCCATGGGAATTCTGCACAGCGCTGTTTGGGATAAATAACAACCTTGTTCCCGTATTGTGGAAAGCCCTCCGGTACCAGTTGTTACTCAAAAGCCTTTGTGTCTTACAAACAGAGAGAGAGAGAGAGAGAGAGAGAGAGACACAGAGAGATAGAAAACAAACTGCAAAGCAGGGTGAAAAATGGGCCCCATCTGGAAAATGTTGTCCTCTCTTGCCACATTCTGCTGAAGGTTTCTCTTTGCGGAGATGTTGCTGATTACAAGAACAGATGAGTGTCCAGACCTCCTCGGAGCCGACTGAGAGGGCCAGAGGTTTAAGCCCTGCTCTGTGATGAGCCTCCACTAGGGGATATTTGTGGGCCGACTCTGAACGATTCAAGTTTTCGCCAGATAGACCAAAGAAAGCAACACCAGTTTTCCAAACCTTGTCTGATCTGAAAGGCAACTGCTTTTATGTGTTGCAATTACGCATGAAGTAGTGTGTCAATAAAGCTCAACTGACACACTCCCACAGATTCAAAAGGGAAGAAAACAAGTCGGACACGAAGCACCAGTTCTTAAGAGCTGCCTTTGTGACCCAGAATGAACTTTATTCTCTGCCAGGTCATTGATATTCCCACGCATTGGAAAAGACAGGCATGTTTTTATTGGAATGGAAGGTGGTGTGTTCATTTTAAAAATGAATTCAATTTATTCTCTATGAACTGATTTAATCATGGAAATATTTATGGCCACTTGTGGTTGTACATAGAATAGCGGGAACAGATTTTATGATCAGTTCAGATGTAACATTTAGAGAAACGGTGGAACTTGATCTCTATCGTTGATCAATATCTGAACCAAGTTCAAGGCACACAGATAACACATCTGACTTCTCTTTTCACATTTAGAAGAGGTTTAAGAGGTTGCATGTTAAATCTGCAATAATCAATATTTTTATATCAACAATGGATGAAATTACGGTGTAATGCGAAAGATGTAGCTCGTAGTGATAATTAGCTGGTAGTGGTTCACTCATACAGCTCTCATTGGTAGCATGTCTTGACATAACAGTCAACTGTTTTCAGCGTAAAGCCCTATAAACCTCTTGTACTCTATACCTGCCCAGCACCAAACGGCAGTGTTGGAGCACTAAGCAGCTTTAGAGGGAATGCTAATGTTGCTAATGTCCCTTGGATGACTGAATAAACAACTGTCTGTCAACACGTCTGCCATACCAACTCTGCAGGTGCAGGTTTAGCTAATTAAATGTTGAACAAAGACTTAAATCTGGTCCTCTGAAACTCCTCAGTAAGTTGACCCGTGGATCCGAGGCGTAGTAACAGATGTGCTTGCACAAGATATTTCCTGTATTCCTATTTGCGGGTGTTAATGAGCGTGCGTGTTTGGATGCACGGATTCTCCAACTGCCTCTGAGGGTGTTTATAGGGCGTCGTATCGAGGAGCCTTTTAAGGAGACCTTTGAAATTAGCTGTGCTTGCAGAGGCTTTTAGCAAGTCCACTACAGACCCCAGACCTGCACTACATTAAGCAGATGGATGCATAGCTGAGAGGCAGATATTAATGGATGTAGTGCGGTATGTTCTGCTAGAACTTGTTAGCTCGATAGCTCTGTGTCAGTTTGATAAGAGTACATCAACAGGAGTGTACTCCTCAGGCAGGATTTCCGATAAGACACCACCTACAGTCCACCTCCTGTCCGCTGTTATCAGGAGTAACACGATAACTTACAGCACGGCACATACTCTCCTAAATCAAACGCACACGGAAAGGTATCAGGCAGCAATACATCATCCTTAATCACTTCTGTACGCCATGTGCATCAACACATTTGTCTCTCTTGTCAGAACGCGCAGGTCATCTCTGGATCACTTTAGGTGGATCAGACCACGTTATGACAGATGTTCTCATATTTCCCCAACATGCATTTAACGGGCGATAAAGCCGCGCACGGCTTAAACGCAAGGACCCCCTGTGGCATTAACCCTGCATGTGCGCTCACTCATGTGTATGCTAGTTTGCGTGCGTAGTAGTAAATGTGGGTTGCGAGGGGGGGTGTATTCCATATGTACTGTACATAGACTGTACCAGAGTACATTGTTTCCCCTCCCCCACTCCTGCCGAGAGAGTTAATTTATCTTGCTCTCAATGGTGGGTGGGCAAATCCTGCCAGTTGAGTTATTCAGAGTGATTATCCCCCCCTCTGTTTTCACTAATAGAGGTTTTTAGCCCCCCTTTATCCTTTTGTCCCGCCCGGTCACTGGGTCTCCATGGCGAGGCCTCGTCCAGCGGAGGCGTCGGGCTCAGCCGTCACTATTGTCAGTGTGTTTGTTGGTCCTGGAGGCAACGCTTCGCTTGACTCTCGGTAACAAGATGCGGACTGACAGTCTTTTTGAAATTGGGGACACTGGTTGTAGGAAGAAGGAAAGCATAGCGTAAAAAATCACAGGCAAACTGGCACATATTCCTCCCAATTTAATCTCTCGAATCACACACACACACACACACACACCATCTCGGTTTAATCACACAGCGTGTGTCCTTAACCTACATTTCTTCGGCGGATGCATTTCAGAGCGTCCTTATTGATCGCTAGTGCAGCTTGACTCTTTCACATCCTGTCATAATTCCTGCAACTTGTTGTTTTTATTTTTTATTCTTGTCTCACGTGAGCTAAAAAAACGCAGCACCTCATGCTTGATGACCCAGGCTCCATCCCTCAGCGTCTCCCCTGCAGTGTCACTTAGCGCCAGTCTGAGTCTTTTCCCCCTCTTTCTCTTTCTGCCTTGTCACAACAGCAGCATCTCTCTGAGTTGCCATAGTTTGACCCCTGTCAGCCATAGCTGATAAAATCGGACACCTCGTCTAAAGCAGCGAGCTGACTCATCACGCTGTTCCCAGGACTGCGCTAGGGCACACAGTTAACAACATTAAGCCACTCTGCCACATGTTTTAGTTATTTCCATACCCACATGCTTCTGTCAGTTAAATCTCTATCCCCAAACACTCCCCTGGATATCACAATCCACCTTGCCTCTCTGTTGCGGAAACCCTTCTCCATGGCAACAAATCAGCTCATTGAGTGAAGCAGTTGCAGTTGCCGTTTGGCGCAGTGAGGACTGAATGGTCCAAGCATCTGCCTTCACAATCTCCTCACAATTCATCTGTTATCATCCCCGGGTTGATGGGGCTGCCTGTTCTGCCTCCAACATAATAATTATACGCCCCTAATTATGGCGGTAGCTGGCAGGCCTATTCCAACACTTAGTCATGCATTCTGGGAGGGATTACGGAGAAGTATTTGACTCTAACAGGTTATGAAAGAGCGCCTTCTGTTTGTCGACTGGACAGCTGGAGAAACCTGAAGCGCGAATGGAGCTGTGAGCGGAGTAAAGGGTTCGAATGTGTGACTGTCCGGGTCAAAGTGGAAATTAAATAATACCAGTAATTGGATTTAATCTGCTAGAGAGCAGAATAGGCCAGGAGTGGCAGAAACTTTAGACAGTCACTGTGTGTGTGTGTGTGTGTGTGTGTGTGTGTGTGTGTGTGTGTGTGT